GTTTTTTTTTTTTGTTTTTTTTTTAGGGATGTGCAATGTGCATTACATAACAGAAATACTGAAACAGTTATGTCTACTCATTTTAAGGGAGTGGGAGAGATACAGCAGTTGGTTTCGCCACATGATCTGATATCAGTTTGAACTGTATTTAACTTACAAGTTAAAAATAGGGTTTAATGGAGAGTGCGTAAAACTATACTGTTTTCATTTTGTTTATATGTAAATGTTTTTAAGTATATGGGCCTATCTATAAATGGATAAGTCTGTATATGTTTATCACACACATACAACCTCCATGTTCTTGGGTCCTAGGTTTTTGAAGAAGTGCTAAAACTTGCTATCTTGTTATGGAATTACATGCTTTAAAACAAACCCTTTTTTATCCTAACGCTTCTGAAAACTAGATCTGACTCTATGGGACCCGTTCCCAGCTAAAGAAAAATCACTTCCATTATGATCCCCTCCTCCCACCTCCGCAATTTGACTGTTTAGCATTTTACACATCCCTGATATATTGTATATTGTGATCCAAAGTTACTACAAGTAGGCTTATGACAATTTGATAGTCTACAACTTTGGAAACAATATTCCGCTACAGATTATTAATAATCCATTGTTTAGCTAACCAATAGTTTTTTTTTTTTTTTAAAGAAGGTCATTTGAACAGTTAACAGAACAATGAAATAACAGTTTAACAAAAGAATTGCATTTTATTCATCTGTGTAATAATGTGATACTCCAAATGTCCCTTTTAGTACTTACTAGACGTTTGGTTCCTGAAAAAGACAAAGGGTTAGAGTTAACGTCCTGTAGATACACACAGAGACTAGGCCATAGAAGCAGCTTTATGTCTACCTAGCTTGTGTCTTTTTGTTTGTTTGCTTGTTTGTTTTTAATAATTCCTGAGCGATCTCTCTGGAAGGGAAAGTGTTTTTGAGTACTAATGGCTATTTTTTGAGGACAGAATTACAACTTAAGAAATAAAAAGCTGGTAGAATTCCTTAAGTACAGTAGAATAACTTTCAGGACAATATTGCCTCACAACCCTGCTCACATTGAGAAGTCTTTTTTGTTTCCCTTTAACTGTTCTGACTGGAGTTTTCTACAAAAGCTATGGGAAATATCTTTGTTCTTGTTTGCTGCTATTTCCTGTCCTATTTTAAGAAATATAAATACATAGAAATGGTGCATCTTAACATTTGTTTGTACATGTATAAATGTATTTTAATTCATTTTTTAGCATGTAGCAACACAAATTAAGGGTAAGCCACAACATCTAGAAATCACTCATAGATAATGAATAAAGGAAAAAATGGTACCGATTTAGGAGGAAACAAAGCTGCTGTCCACTGGGTTTTTCCCCCTGCAGCATACAGTGACTTTCGTTGACGAAGGAGGAGAAACTATTACTCTGTAAACAAAGTTTTCCTTACTTGGGAGATTGCCACAGCCTGCTGCTTAGTTGAGTTAACAGATATCCTCCATTTAAGAAGCAGCGAACATTGAATCTCAGGGATGGTCCGCATCTGGATCCACATGTAACGAGCCCTGTTTGAATAATGAGAGGGGGTGGGAGAGAGTGATCCATCTACAATCGGGAATCAGATTTGCAGAGGTTTCTGCACTGTTGTTTGACACTGCCCTGTTGATGCCCTTTCTTCCTGTTTCCTTGTTTTCTCTGTCTGCTGTCTGACCCTGTGCCTTGCCTGGGATAAGTACAATTATGAGGTTACTGGTTTGGATTGTAAGTAGAGGAATTTATTAATTGGTTTAGAGGTTCACTGCTGCTTTGTCACTTTCTTATCAAATTGGCCACTTATTTAAGAAATAAAAAGCTGGTAGAATTGCATCCTCAGATGATTATTGACTTTTTGTGTGTGTGAAACAGACATTCCAGTGCCATCTTCTACAATGTGCCCAAGAAGTCCTAGCTGCACTCTTGAAAGTGCAAGCCATGGAAACTGGCTTAGACATCACTTGGAGAATAGTTGCTTTCACATGGCATCTTGCACTTTAGGAGACTTAAGACCGTCCTTTTTTGTCTGTGTGTGGTGTGACCAATGGTGTGCCCAGAGCACTGCCCTAAAAATCACTAGTGTTAGCAAGTTGTCGGGCTGTGAAGCGCTCACTGTAGTCTTTGGAAGCTTTGGCTCTAGATCGCCAAGCCCAGTCTCCTTATTGTCAGTGCCCTGCTCTCCTGTTTGCCTCTTTCTGTTTCTCTGTGAACTTCCAGGTAATATCACTCATTGAATAGATTTTCTTTAAACTTACTTAAAGAAAAACTATTTAAAGGTAGAGGATATTTTGTTGACAGTGGTGGCTTGATAATTCTTAAGCAACTGAAGTTGAAATTGTTAAAGGGAAAGGCACTTAAAATGGTTACTCTTTCTGTCCAGCTGTATATAAGTCCAATGTGTTAATCTAGATGATGCAAAGAAGATTCTCTTTGTAGAGACGCGACATGTACAAAATTGGTGAAAAAGGTTTTTTTTTTTCTTCAATGGGGTGGGGGGAGGGCAAGCTGGATTTGCAAGTCACAACTGGACTAAATTGGCCTTTTTATCTTTCCACTATATCATGTAAGTAGCTGCTTTCTTGTCCTGCCTACCCTTCAGGCATCCTAGAGCTCACTCAGAAGATAGAAATATACACAAAATCTTCGAGTTAGAAGTTGATCCTGACACTGACGTGAAGGCAAGCATTGATTTCATATGAACGTTGCAGAGGTGGTGATTGGAGAAAACAGTTCCCCAGATTGTAAGAGTTAACTGAAGCTATTGACAGTTTTAAAAAATCAGTAAAGGAATGTATATAATATTGCTCTTGTGTTTTACAGTAAGATTTGTTGCTCTCAGACTGTGTAAAACAAAATTTATTCATGTTTTCTGCATATTAAAAAATCTTATTGTACCAATTGGTAAACTATTAAATGCCTATAAAACTAGATGTGATTTTTCTTTTGGGGGGGGGGCGGTCTCCAGATTTAAAATAACTGAGTCCTAATTGGAAATAGGACTGTCTGCCATTGCCTGTCACTGGTAGAGTAAAATGCAGTTGGTAGCAGGACCAAGCCTTGCCTGTGTTGCCTGCTGCTTCCCCTGCTTAGAAGGAGCTAGGAGTGGCTATCTGGGATTTTAAGGCTCCCACCTCCCCTCCAGCAAACCTATCTTGACAGTGATTGCACTGCTGAGGTTCATAGTCTCCCCCTAAGCAAAGTCTAGACTCATGAGGAGGGCTGCCTGGTTCTGTTAATGTCTCTCTCTAGTGATCTTAGATGTTTATTTCCAATTTGGGTTGAAATATACCCAAAGTTTCATGTTTGCCCCAGAAATTCCAGCATTTTTATGTGCTTTATACATGTTGGCCCTGTCCTGCCTTTCATCAACAGTCTGTTCAGCTACTGAGTATCTTTAGGACGCTATGAAGTCTCAGCCTTTTCCATGTATAAAGGACAACACACAGTACGGTGGCTCTCTTTATACAGCCCAATTCTATCTGTAACTCCCCCTATATGGGAAGCTTGGCCAAGAGACTTTTTCTAAAGATATGGGATCTAGCGTTTCACTATCTTAAAGTGCAATTAGCTACTCAAAACCTTAATTTGTCTCCATGTGCCACACATTGAGAGAGTTCGTGATTGTGTCTAACAGATGTAGGGTGAGCAGTAGGAAAAGAGGGAATTGTGGCAGCTGTGGTCACATCTCATGACCTGACACTAGGATCCTCTAGGAATACAGTTCAGTGTTCTCTGAACCATCAGCATCACCTGGGGACGTGTTAGCACTAATTGGGCTCAGACCCACTGACATAGTGAGATGCAGCAGAACTTTTGAACACCTAGGTGATTCTGATGAAGGTTCTGAAATTTGAGAACTGCTTATCTAAGTGATTCAGGAAATAAGGACAAAAATCACTCCTGAACTGTACAGCTGGGGTCTGAACTTGAATCTTTTTAAAGTGTTTTTTAAAATGAGTATTATGCATGGTTATCTCTGCCTGGTCCTTAAGGTGTGTACTGTATTTCAGTAGATCTGCCTTTTATGCTCCTTCCTGTCTGTGATGAATCCTCTCAGCACCCCCCTTCTGTCTACACCCCAGGTCTACACACACACAAAGGTGGAGACTAGTGGAGCAAAAATGCCTAATATATCACTATCTATGAGATGCAAACATGCCTATTCTCAACATCTCTTTTTCACGTACCCCATGTTGGTGGACACTAGTATTTTAATGAACAATACCCACTTAAGTTAGGTCACAGACCAAAGGCTGAAACTAATGAAAAAGTGAGCTGGTGACCAGGCACTTGCTCTTTGCCTGATCTGGTTTGTAACCCACATGGTGTAGAACTTTCATCTTGCTTGCTTCTCCCCTCAGTTGATTTCAGTAATTTGCCTGTTCTCCCCACTGTCTCTCACCACCACCGTCACTCCTCTGGCCTACACCCAGTTGTATGCATAAAAAAGCTAAAAGTAATTTTACAAGTAATTGTTACAAGTTTTGACTTTTTTAGTATTGTAGGGAAGATTGCTCCATGTCTGAACTCTACTCTAGCACCTCTCTAACTCCTTTGTGGGATGGACTAGAAGTGGACATGAGGAGTAAGAATCATTGCCCATGCTTGCAACTCAAAGTTACTAAGTCATTCCATACAAAATCATTCTTCTCAGGATATAAATCAGTGGATTTGCTTGTTTACTACTTCACTTTCCACTTGAGGAAAGTTGCCTGTTCTCAACAAGCATCCTGATTATGTGTGCCTTACTTGACTTGGTAGTTTAAGTGAACAAATAAGCTACATAAGGACAGCTCCTGACAATTGGTAAACCCTAACTGGGTACCTGTGACTCCACCCCTTTTCCTCCCATTTAAATGTTGACCTTGAATTTAAACTATACACATTCGTGTGTTTTAAACTCTTTACTAACTAGCAGCACTGGCAACAGCCCTCACTTCATAATCAAATGAGACTGGTACAGAAGACACAGGAGAGACTGGGGCAGCAGGTTTCAAAAACTCACTTTATTCCAATGTGAAATGAAGACGTGATGGTTTAAAAACAAGAAAAAGTTCTTGATCAGCTGTGGGGATGCTTCACTTGCTAGCTCAACCCCACTCCCTTTGAAACAAGGTGCTTGGACAGACCATACCCATAAGCAGCTCCCCGCAAAGCCCCCAAGCAGAGGCCCCATTCCGGGAACAATCCCCTTACTGCTCACAAGGGTGGTAACGTCCCCCCGCCCCCCCAAGACCCATTAGGGCTCCAACAGCAGGCACAGAAGCAGCACAGGCAGGGGGAGAGGGAGTAGCAGGCCTGTGGGGGCCACCACCTTCAACACAGTCCCACCACCTCCACCCCCAGAGATACTCTGTATAAGGTGCTTGTGAGGCAAGGTCCAGGTGGGAAGCTGGGCTCCACAAGTGACAATTACTCCTATATCTGGTAATTTACCCCCGAGAATCCATGATACAACCCTGGTTCCCCTAGCTCCTCACATACACCCCCCCCCCCACTGTGCATTAGGCAGCTCAGGTTCAATTGGGAGGATACATTCAGACCATAGCCCCCCAAAGGCTATCTCCAGCTGGGGTGCAGGGAGTGGTGAGGCAGCACATCTTGCTGGGTCCAAGAGTGGGCAGACAGGCAGAGGCTGGGAACAAGGCCAATCCCACTCTCCCCCAGCTGCAGTCAGGCCCAGTACGGAGTAGTGAAGCAACTGCAGCTCTCATCTTGTCACAAAGCTAAAGTGCACCCCAATCTTCAGCCATACCACAGAGCTCTGGCTCTCCACCCCAGGACACAGGAAAGCGCCCGTTTTTTGGCTTAAAACCTAGACTTTAAGCCAAGTTGAGCCCAAGGGTAGTGGCAGCAAAAGCGGCAGTCATAATGTCGAACATACAAATGACCTGAGAAGTCTCACCTGCACACCATCCACTCAGAACTGACTCAGGGCTATGTACAAGTTAGGAAGGACGGCTCAAGATACGCACGGGCATGACACACTCGCACACACCTGCTTGAGGTTGGGGGTCTGAGGGGGCTTCTGACCCCCAGTTAGGAATTGGTGCCCACATACTCCATTCATGTGTCTTCAATTAGGCCTCTGCATCATATATTCATTGTACCAGTGCAAAAACTTCTTGGGGATGGGGGGCAGTCAGGCCAGGTCGGGGTCCAAGGAGGATTTTGGGGTGGGGCTGGGGTTGGAAACTTGGAAGAAGGGGGCTTGTTTCCTCTCCCGATCTGCAGGGCGTGCCCCTTCTCCTGGAGTCTGGATCACTGGGTAATGGGGCAGCTGACTGTCCATCTGTCTCTCCTTTTCTACCCCTGCAAGCTCAGGGATGGGTCCTTGGCAGCCCTGGGCAGGGAGTCTGCTTCCTCTGGGGCCCCCGCGGTCTCAGGCTCAGTAGCCATGGGCTCCTCAGCTCTATCCTTGTTTTTGCTGGCCTCCTGGAGCTGGTGTCGCCGCGCCACCTCAGCTTTCAGATTCTCCAAGTCTTTTTGGCTGTGCAGAAGAATGGGGATGAAAGACAGGTGTCAACGTGGGACTGGGCCCTCTGTCAGCTTACCAGCTTTGCTTCAACTTGGGACAAGACCAGGTCTGTGCTTTAGTCAGAGACATGTACTGAACAAGTATCTCCCTCTTCAAAGCAGAAGGGCCCATGAAGTGCTCAAGTCGGAGCTGACACCGCCTTGCTCTCACTTGGTCTTTCCACCTAGTTCAAATCTGGTCCAGAAGACCAGACGCAGAAAATGGAGCAGCGCAGGGCCGGCTCACAGTGGGCACAGCACAGTATCCTGGCTGATAAGCCCACACCCCACACTGGTGGGGGTAGGAGTGCGGGGTCACGAAGGCAGCATTTCATAAGCGCCACACTGAAGCCCTCAGGGTTCAGATACAAGGCACACGTCTGCACTACAACAGCAGGAAGCCAAGGGAGGGAGCTGCTGCTCAACAGTGACATGGAAAGGTCACCAAAACCTGTTAAATGAAAAACAATAGCCACATGCTAGGTTTGCTACAATTTGTGGGAAAAAGGAGGGGGGATTACACATTTGCTTGATTCCTCATAAAGTATTTCTGGAAGGATTCACAAGAAACTGCATCACAGATGGGGATAAAATGCAGGTGCAGAGGGTCTCACCTGAGAGGAATGAAGAGGATGCCGTTGATGACGTTGAGCTGTTCCAAGACACTGGCCATGCTGGGGGCTGTGAACTGGGGGGGTGGGGAGGGGGCGGGAAGCTGAGTCAGTGAGCAGGTACCAGGAGGCTGGATTGTGGGGTCCAGGCAGCTCCACCTGGGACATACCTTGAGAGGTGGGATGTTGGCACTAGAGCCATTGCGGTAGATCTCATTCATGGTGCGCTGCAGGGCCACAGCCTGCTGTGTCAGGCACTTGAGGTACTCAGAGCTCTCCTTCGTCTTCTCATGGTCCTCGCCCAGCTACAGGAGGTGAGAGGTGGCACAGGAAGGAAGGATCAGGACCACCTGAGGCCCACAGGCCCAGGTCCACCCCCTCAGCTTCTCCACAGCCCACCTGGGTCTTGTAGATGGTGTAACCTTCCTTCTCATGCTGCAGCGCTGACCGGAACTCAGCTTTGCTCTCGTAGACCCGGGCAACAAGGTGGTGGCTGGAAGGAGGAGGAGCACGCATGGCAAAGGAGAGGCGTGGGGGTGGGGAGAGCGGCGCTGGGATAGCAGGGCCTTAACAGTGGTGTGGAAACTATTCCAGACCCCGCTCTAAAATCTTCCCAGTGACAAGTCCAGGATTCACAGGAGAGATGGAAGTTGAGAGGCATTTTCTCAAGTGTCAGGTGGAAGACAGAATGTTGGCTCCACGCCTGCCCGGAGTCTAAGTGCTTCCAGGGATCCTGTACTGGGGCTGAGGTCCCCATCCCAGCACAGCCTCACCTGAGGGCCACCTTGAGGGACTTGGGCCCGTGATATTTGGTGCTGACGGCCAGCGCGTTCTCTAGGAAGCGCAGTGACAGGTCATACTCCATCACTCCATGCAGCACCAGCCCGATGTTATTCTGGGGACAATTGAGAGGGCCCCCGTCAGCTCCCACTGCCACAGGATGAGGCTGGTTCCACTTTCCCTGCCCAGCACTCACATCCAGCAGTGCCATCTCAGGGTGGTCTTCCCCGAACACGAGCAGTGTGAGGTAGCGGGCGCGGTATAGCAGGCTCAGGGCCGTGGACAGCTGGCTGCTGGCGAAGCAGTACAAGGCCAGGTGCATCTGTGGAGGAGCCGCGTCAGGCCAGGGCCACAGGCCCGCCGCCCTGTCAGCCCCCCGCCCGACAGCTACTCACGTATTCCTGGATGGTATTGGGGTGCTCGATGCCCATCACTCGCTCGCTCATCAGCACTGCCTTTTGCTGGTTACTCAAAGCCTGGGAGAGGTGAGAGGTGGTTAGTCCAGGGCGGATACCACTCCACACCAAGTCTGCTGCCCCCACAGCGGTCGGCCTCATCACCTCTAGCTGTATTTTCTATTTTCACTTTGCACAACTGAGAAAGGGTCAGAATTTAACTGCTGTGACTACGAAGTCTATGCTTTGAGACTGTTTCATCATGGGAAAAAATCATCATCTTAAGCCTTCTTCCACTTAAAATCTAAACAAGTACATTACCTACCAATCTAAAAGTGTGCTAGAAGTGAGGTCTTGATAATTTAAACAAATGCAAACACAGACAAAGAAAAACGGGGGGGGGGGGGGGGAGGGAGGAGTGGAGAGCCTAGTGCTCACCTGTGCCATGAAAACGTCTCAAAACCTGGGAATGACCAGCCAGGGGTCATAGTGGTCAGAGCCAATAGCAGAGATACTGCCAGAAGCTTCCAGGAGGCACCAGCAAGTAGGCCCTAAGCCCCAGAGTCTGTACTTTCCGTTGTCCTTGTGAGGGCTGCCCTGCCATCACTTTGCTGTGGTCTCGGGCTCACCAGGCTCTCGAGCTCTCTCAAGGGTCTCCCTGGACTCTACCTGCTCCTCCCTCAAGACCCCGAGGTAAGCAGCATTCTAAGCTTTTCTGATAGGGGGTCCAATTCAGTAGTCCTAGAGTGCTACTTCCTGCTGTTGTAGGGGGTAAGAACACAGCCCCAGCTCCCTCAATTGCCATCCCCCAGTGCCAGGCCAGGCCCCAGGGCCTCTTCTGACAGCCCAGGGGGTGCTCAAGGCCCACCTCGGCGTAGTCACCCATAATGTAGTGGAGACGAGCAAGGAGGCGCAAGCAGGCGCAGATCTCCACGTGCATGGCTCCGTACACGTTGTTAAACAGGTTCAGGGCCTCATTGATGAGCTCGCAGCCCTCCTTCAGGAAGCCTGCAGGGCACCCCCAAGGGTGGCAAGGTCAGGGCCGGGCCAGGGGACCCCCTCCCACCAGCCCCACCTGGCCACGCACCCTGCTGTACTTTGGCCTGCCCGCTCTGGAAGAAGTGGAAGGCATCCGAGGCCTTGGGGTTGACGTGCTTGACCACGGGGAAGATGTTGAGCACATCCTCCTCGGTGAAGGCAGGCTTGTGGCGGCTGTCAAAGCTGTATTCCTTCAGCAGGATCTGGGAACACAGTGCCAACAGCCACGGGCGGCCTCAGCCCCAGACTCAAACCGTCAGCACCCCCCACTTCTTACTCCCGCCCTGGACCTGAGCCCTGGGGGAGACTGGCCCACCTGTATGCCGGTCTTCAGGGAGATCTCCCGCAGCAGCGTTATCTTCTGTAGGCCGTAGGTCTCCACAGCCTGGTCCACACTCTCACTAGAGGAGGAGCGGCAGGTGAGCCCGAGCGGCCCAGCACGTGGCTCAGCCCCTCTCCAAGGCTGCCTCCTTACCTGAAGGCCCCCCTCCCAGGCGCTCTCTCCCTCCAGTCGGGGCGCGCTAACCCTCACGCCCACTCCTGAACACAAGTGGTCATCCAGCTCCCTCTTGGCCTATCCCCTGCCCTGTGACTTCAGGCTGACTCACCAGATGCCCCCTGGGAGCCCAGCCCCTAGGCTTGCCGCAGTCCCGCCGCACTTACCACTGGAGGCTAAAGTCAAAGTAGTTCTTAGCCTCCTGGCAAATGTTCTTCCAAAGCTCCTGGGGAGTCATGACTGCCCAGGCTGTGTTATCTGCTGCTCCTGGGGGCCGGTTTCTCCTCCTCCTGTTCCTCTTCTTAGACACCAGCTCATCAGCAGGCAGGTGGGCCACAGGGTTGGGGTAGGAGCTCAGGAAGCAGTTCAGGAAGTGGCTGATGGCGGCCGAGAGGCCCGAGAGCTCCACTCCCTGAGAGGGAGGTTTTCACCAGTCAGGGCCCTTGGGCGGCAAGCAGGGTCCTTTCCTGAACACCACACCACCCAGGCTGGGGAGCAAGGGCTGCTACCTGTAAGTACGTCTTGAAGATGTGCTTGGCAGAGCGGGTGATAAGTTCTCCAATGCCAATTTTCTGCGTAGATTCAAAGAGGGAAGTCTTGATCAGGCCACGGTCTCCATCCCAGACCCCCCACCCCCCAGCCCCCAGCTCATGGCCCATCTTGGCGCCACTCACGTAGACGTGGTCCAGCTGGTCACGGGCAGGGCTCCGGAGCACCAAGTCCAGCACCTTGCCCAGGTAACGCATGTTGATGCCTCGCTGGCGCATCACCTCAGCCAGCGTGGCGCCATCCATAGGCAGCACCGCATGGTCTATGCAGTCCTTCACCTGCGGGCCGCAGCAGATCAGACCCCCCTGCACCCAGCCTGCGCCTGCTGCCTCCTCCCGCCCTGGGTCTTCTCCAGGGAAGCTCATGCTTTCCCACAGCCTTGAGGGAAGGAGTGGACTAAAACCCCAGCTTCCAGTTAGGAGGGGGGGAGGGGACAAAGCAGCAGCAAGGACTTTGAGAGCATGTCGCCAGCCCTTTACCCGAAAAGAAAGCAGGACAGCAGTCACCCGGGACTGGAAGTCCCACCCAACGGGAAAGGAAGGAGCAAGGTAATGAAATGAGAGAACACTGGCTCCCCCTCTGTCTGCGCAGGAGAGAGCAGAGGTGGCCACTAAGGGCCACAACTGCAGCCAGCCCGCGCTGAGCCCGAGGCCCGGACAGGGAAGCAGAGCAGTCACACGGCAGCCTCGGCTCAAAACGCTGAGACACGTGCACAGCCAGGCCACAGGGCTCGCTTAGTAGGGAGCAAGTGGACCCATCACCTACGGAGCCTAGCTACAAAGTCTGGGAGGGTGCGGAGGCCCCCCGCAGGTCCTCAGTCCAGGTGGACAGCGCGGCTGGGCAGAGCCTACACCTGAGCCTCCCGTGGCCTCTCCGGGTCAGCAGCCCCAGCTGTACCGGGGATGAGGACTCGGCCCACCTGCCTCGCCGGTCAGCAGGCCTAAGGAAACCACCCCTGCTGGCGTTCTGTGAGCTTCTAGGGTTGGCAACGGATGAAGCAGGGAGGCCTATCACAGCACCCTCCGTTCAGCCCAGCCCTCCCGGGCTTCCCCGCCCTCACCAAGCCAGGAATCTGGCAGGAGAGCAGGAAGGCAGCAGCATCTTTCAGCAGTTGCTTCTGGTCCCGAACTTCCTCCTGGCAGGACTCCGGGAAGCGAACCCCTGAAGAAGGAAGAGCATGGGCTTGAGCCAAGTGCAAGTGGCGTGGAGGTGGCAGACAGGTGTGGGCGGTCAGGGGGGCCCACAGGGTCTCGAGCCAAGTGCACGGTGTTCTGCCTACCCTTCCCCGACACTTGCCTGGAGAAAAGATGTCAGGGTTGAAGCGGACGTCAAAGGCCGTGCTGCTGATGGAGCCCACTGCCTTGCACGCGTTACGAATCACCTCCCGGCTTCGGGGGTCTGCTGTGGAGACACGGCAGGCTGGGAGGCAGCCCGACCCCACCACTGCGTAGGGCTGGCCGACTCCCAGCCTCCCCCCAGTTCCTCTTAGAAAGGGCGGCCTGCCTCTTCCTGGGCTGGGTCATGAGCCGCCCCAGGTGGCACCAGCTGCCAGCACAGGACTGCCGCACCCCGGCATCCACAGCAACCCCACCTGTGCCGTCGTCCGAGGCGATGGTCTCTGCCAGCTCCTTCACCTTGGCCAGGCCACTAGCACTGCTCCCCTCCTCCTCATTTCCTGCCTCAGGTCCTGCAGGATCTTCAGGCTTGGATACCAGGGGAGGAGATTCACCATTTTCCAGTGAGGTGAGCGTCTCCATCTTGCCGGCTTTCTGCTGCATCAGCTGCAGGGCCGCCAGCTTCATGAAGAGGAGATACCTAAAGTGGCCGAGGACAGACAGGAAAGGGATGTATCGGCAAGTCTCACCCACTGGGCACCTCCTGCTGACGGCGGGGACCAGACTGGCTCCTGGTGCCCTGGGGCCGGACACACTCAGGCCTGGGGACTCTCCCTGCCCGTGTGCAAGTGTCGGCTTGCGCGTGCACACACGTGGCAACTCCAGCAGGCGGCAGCAGGTCCTAGCAAATAAGCAGACCTCCCCAAGTGGAAAGAGGACAGCTGGGGGCCTGGGGATTGGCTCAGCCTGCAGGTCAGGGCTCTCAAGAGAGACAGGAACCCACTGACATTTTGAGAGGGAGAAATATTTGTGGTGTGGGTCATTTGATGTGGCTGATTCCTAAGCACTAAATGCCAACCGCAGCCACACCCTGCCCCTCCTCCAAGTTTTTGGCACTGGGACATTCAGAAACACTGAGCAGTTCTGCACATGTCCCTTAAAGATCGAATCACTGGTGCAGCTGGTCTGTGACCAGCACACAGCTCTTAGAGGGGTGCTAAGGGCCGGAGACAGGTATGCAGGGGTTGGGGGAAGGCAGCTATACTGACCGTGGCCAGAGCTGGCTGCCCTTCCCAAGGCCTCTACCATCAAGCCTCAGCCCCAGGACCCCCGCGGCTGGGGGCAGCTTGCCCGGGCCCCTCCGACGGCCGGCTCCTCACCGGTGCTCCACGAAGGCGTCCACCAGCTCCTGGCGCAGGCAGCAGAGCTTGTGCCGGTGGGTGCGGGGGAAGCCGGCGCGGGTGCACTCCTCAGGCAGCGTCTCCCCGGGCACGGGCAGGAAGTTGAGGTCAGGCGGGAAGGTGCGCAGCAGGTCCAGGATGTAGTGGCGCCCGTCGTTGCCGATGATGCCCTTGCACTCCACGGAGGAGCAGAGCTCCACCTCCTCGTCGCGGTCGTTGAGCACCCGATGGCGCAGGATCTTGAGGGGCCGGCTCGTGCGCTCCAGCAGCTCCAGGTACCGTGGGTGCGTCACCACCGTCTTGCCAAAGTCAATGGAGCCATAGATGACGCTCTGCTCCTGGTCCCGCTCCAGGATGCCCGGGATGATGGACTGCGCGGTGACCCGGTAGCCACGGTAATCCACCACCACAGTGCCCAGGGTGTACAGCCCCTCCACGTCCACGGCGTTGTACGTGCGCACGCCATTCAGGTCGTTGGTGGGCGCCACGTAGGCCGCCACGTCGCCACCAAAGTCCTTGTAGTGGTCACGGACATCAAAGCCCAAGCTGAAGAAGATATTGTTCCAGATGAACATCTGCATCTTGGTCTCCTCGCTGGGGTTGATGGCCATCACGTTGCCATCGATGACGGCCATGGCCCCCCGCGTGGCTGCGGCCGTGAAGTCGCTGTGCACCTGGGAGGGCCGAGGGGGAGGGTGAGCAGCTGGCCAGGCTCACCCGGCAAGCGCTGCTCTGGCTAGAGGGTCCTGGGCGCAGTGCTCGCACATTTGGAAAAGGGCAGGAAACTCAAAAACAAAACACCTCAAAACTTACAAACTCAGAGATAGGAGAGCTTAGTTAACGAGGTGTACGAGACTGGAGCGGATCTGGGATCCACCAACTCTGCACCAGGTGAACCTGGCGCTCCAGGCCAGTTTTCTTGTCTATGAACAGTGCTGCCTTGTACAGAGTACAGAAGATACTGTCTATGAAGACCCTCTTCTGCTTCCTAGCATTAAAGACATTTAGACCCTATTTTACCATAATATCTAAGTGACAAGATTATGTATCTTAAACACATTTTCTGAAAGCACAATTTTTTCCTTTCAGTCTAAGTACTAATCACAGGGGCTGCCTCTGGTGGGTAGGAGTTAAATCTCAGTGCTGTCACTGCCATGGCCTGAGTTTGATCCCCACCAGGGAGCTGACCCACATGGCGCGGCAGACCTCTGCTGACCCGCCCGCTGCTCCCTCAGCAGTGGACTTCGTCAATCTGCCTGTTCTGCTCCCCGCTCTGTCTCTAGAGAGTCCTCTCACCCCCTGCATCTCTGGCTTGTACCCCAGCTCTTATGTGCACAAGTAAATAAACATTTTAAAGAATATTTATTTATTTATGCATACAAGAACTGGGATACAGTGGTGGGTGGGTGTGAGAGGCTTCACCAGAGACAGAGTGGGGAGCAAAAGAGGCAGAACTACTAGAACACACTGCTGAGGGGAACAGCAGGTGAGACAGGAGAGGTCTGCTGGGCCATGTGGTCAGCTCCCTGGCTGGGGATCAAACTCGTGCTGCAGTGGCTGCGGATAGCTTCACAGAGCTGAGCTCCAACCTGTTAAGCCACCAGGGAGGGCCTAATAAATAAATCTTAAAAAAAAAAAAATACTCATCATGGCAGGACATGCGTGCCTAAGCAAGGGCCCCCCAGCAGTCTGTGGAGGGTGGGAGACTGTCATTCAGTCCACACCACATTGGGAGGCAGTTCCCTCCCCTTCCCCTGGACTCCAAGTCTCGGAGGGGCAGAATAAGGAACTGGGGTAGTCCTCCAGGAGATGGGAGGGGCAAGCAAGATACCTGCTGGCACCCTGACTGACCTTGAATATGGCTCTTTCTCGAAGCAGACGTTCTGGCAGGTTCTTTCGGGGCAGCTCCCTTGTCGTCTGCAGCTCCTCATTCCAGTCCCGCGTCTGCAGTGGGACCAAGGAGGAGACACCAGCTCAGCCTGTGCCCTACAACCTGTTCCAGGAAGGCCCTCCCTGCACCTCCCCATGGACAGTCCTCCGCACCCCCAAATGAACCAGACACAGACAGAGCTTCCAGGGAGGCACAGGGAACCTGGCCCAGCGCGCCCCTCCCAAAGGAGCAGAAGGAAGGTGCCAAGGGGGGGCGGGCCCAGGCCGCAGGCACCTGTCCAGGAATGTGCTCCTCGTAGCCCAGCCGCGAGGTGTAGGCGTCCTCTGCACGCACGCAGTCCATGGCATGCTCCGCTTGGGGGGCCGTCCAGCTGTACACCTGGAACGGGGTGGCGATCCTCTCGAATGGGTGGCGCTGGACCCTACGTCAGGAGAGAGAATTGCAGCCGCCAAGCCCGGGGGCTGCCCTGGAAACCTTCTCCTTTGAGGTCCCACCTGCTCCAGCGTCTCATCAGCCAACAGAAACAAACAGGTGTCTCAGGCCCTGGCAGAGAGCTCTCTGAGGCTCTGGGGCGCTGGTGGCTGAGGACACAGCTTTTTAGGGTAGAAGCACGGGCATGCAGGCTGGCCAGTTCATCCCATCCCCCAGGGGGTGACACCAGGCAGGGACAAATACAGGCAAAGGAACTAGCTACCTTTTCTTCTGCAGCACAGCAAAGTTTTTTTTGAAGGTCGTGCTGATCTGGTTGAGCAGCTCCACCAGGGAATGGCTGAGGAAGCGGGGGCTGGCAGGCTTGGGGTTGAAGTGATACGCTGTGGACCTGAAGGAAGAGGGTGTGGCTGCACAGGGTGTCCCAAGCCCAGCCCGGCGGCCCCTGGAGCAGACTCACACGGGAACTCACTGGTTCAAGTAAAAGCCCCGTGTGGAAGCCGTGATGCTGACTTGCCGGTCCTCAGCGGTGATCACAAACAGGTACATGAGGTCCCCGTGCATCTTGCGGTTCCCTGGAGGTGGGTTCCAGCCACTCATGGTGAGTACTTTCAGGCACTGTAGTGGCTGCAAGAGTTGCCAAGTGTGAGCGGCCAGGCCTCCCGAAGCGGCAGACCCCTCCCTACCCCACCAGACCTGCTCCCAGCTCGACTCCAGAATCCCACCTTCCAGTCACGGTTCTGGGGCTGCAGGGGGCATAAAGGCCGCTCCCGGCTCCCTGGAAGGATGTACTCAGGTGGTGTGCAGTCGATGGGATCCATCTCCAAGCCCTTCTTCCGCTTCCCGCTGTCTGAGAGACCCAAAGCCACTGGTCAGCGCAGTCACTGGAGCAACCGTCTCCCTGTGTGCACCCCCCGCCCCGACCAGACGGAGGCCTGGCCCTCAGCCCCCTCACTAGCGCTCGATCTCCTTGCTCCACGCCCCCTGTCCCAGCCCCAGCCCTGGAGCATCCTGTACCTCCCAGGTCACCGTCAGTGAAGACACTCAGGAAAGACAAGGAGTTGCAGTCAACGCCATTGAAGGCATCTGATGGGTCCAAGCTCTTGAGCAGGTCTCGGACGTGGCGCACGTGGATGCGGGCCTCTCGCACTGTGTACGGCTCTGAGTTAGGGGGAAGGGGCTGGTGTTAGCAGGGCTCTGAACCCCAGATGACTTCCCAGCATAGGTAAGTTTGCCATGGCACTACCATGGCAGATCTTAATTTTTAACTATAGGCAAATTCCAGTACAAGACACACAAACTGGAGTGCTGGTTGCAATATACACATCCGTCTGCTTTGAAAGCATCCTGTTTACAAAGAACTTTTTGCCAAAATGTTGGCAAACACCTCTAAAAATGTACACACGGGGCCCTCACTGGTGGTACAACTGGTTAAAGTACAGCACTATGAAGCTCTCGCAGCCACTACAGCCCGAGCTCAATCCCAGGCCAGAGAAGTAACCCACATGGTGCGGCAGACCTCTCCTGACCCGCCCGCTGCTCCCCTCAACAGTGTCCATCAGCCTGTTCTGCTCCCCACTCTGTCTCTGGTGAATTCTCTCACACCCCACAGCTCTAGCCTGTACCCCAGCTCCTGTATGCATAAATATATATTTTTTAAATGTACACAGGGGCCTCCATGGTGGCACAAGGGGTTAAGTCTCAGCACTACGAAGCTATTCACAGCCACTGCCGCAAGAGTTAGAATCCTAGCCAGGGAGCTGACCCACATGGTGCGGCAGACCTCTCCTGCCTCATTCCCCTAGGCAGTCAACCCGCCTATTCTGCTCCCCATTCTGTCTCTGGTGAATCCTCTCCTGCCCCTCCTCACCTCATACCTCTGGCCTACACCCTAGCTCTTGCATGCATAAATAAATAACATAAATCTTTAAATAAAATTGGACACAGGCCTCGGGAAGCCTCTGTCACAAGTCTCCCAGGGAAGCCGGCTGGCAGAGCCGCTGGCTCTTAGCTTGAGTCCTCTTCCAGAGCAGCCCTTGCTCAGGGGCAGCGTGGATTCCCAGGCCCCCAATCTACAACACTGCCCCCAATATTGCTTTGAAGAATTTTTTTTTTTTTAAAGATTCATTTATTTATTCATACAGAACTGGGGTACAGGCCAGAGATGCGGAGGGTGAGAGGATTCACCAGAGACAGTGGGGGAGCAGAACAGGCAGATCGATGAAGTACACTGCTGAGGGGAGCAGCGGGCGGGCCAGGAGAGGTCTGCCTCGCCATGTGGGTCACCTCCAGGGCAGGCGGGGATCGAACTCATGCGGAAGTGGCTTTAGCTTCTTTGTGCTGTGCTTTAACCCGCTGCGCCACCAGGGAGGGCCGCTTTGAAGAATTTTAATTGGGCATCTTTTGATGTAGGTAAGAGGCTCTGGGATCAACTAAGTTTGGGCACAACGGGTTACAGATTTTTCCCTACACTTGGTCTTAACTGAGCTTGTCTGGAACTGAGCAACTTCTCACCCAACAGTCCACAGCCCCAGACTGCGTCTAACCTCCCCGCCGCCCCGAGAGTTATGAAACTAGCTTCCTTATTAGATTAGCTTTTAGCTCTACAGAATTTGGACTGATCTCAAGCTCTTGCTGAATACTGTTGTTATTTATTTAAATCATGACTGACATTTAACCCACAACACTGGAGGGTGTGCACATAGTAGCCTAAGAGCAGACCTCTGCTCCAGGGAGGGAGTGCTCCAGGCACAGCCCTGCCTCCAGACCAACCTTCCACCACACGCAGCACTGAGCCCTCCTGTAGCCCCTCCACACTGCGGAGCTCTGAGAAGTGGTCCAGCATGTTGCCATCCAGGTGCAGCGAGAAGCAGGTGCGGTGACAAGTGTCCTCCCGGTCCATGAGTACCTGATGGATTTCCTGCACCATCTCCTGGGGGGAAACCTGCCAGGAAGAAGGTCCCGACCAGCGGGTGAGAAGCCATACGGGAGGAGCCAGGACACACTGCTTTCTCCAGCCCAAAATATCTGGGTCTCTAGAATTAAAGTCCCAATTTTTGGCTTTTAAGTCCCAGGTGCTATGAGAGACCTCATAGAGCCCCAGCGCGACCTGTATGTTTGTGCAGAGTATACACGTCTGTGGGAGGACACAGTCTGGCACTGATGCCCTTGGGCCTAAACTATTATGCAGACCAAGAGTCCCACGCACAGCAGTGGGAGATTAAGAATGGGGAAATGAATAACAAACTCGCCTCCTCTCTCGCCCACTGCTAAAGTTCCCAAAGAGCTTCCCCCTTCCAGAAGGGTACTCTGGGGTCCAGGTCAGTGGGCACAAAGAACATAAGAAGGACTTTGTGGTTCCCCAATGAGTTACCCAACTGAAGATCTCTCTCTAAGTTGGAGACCATCCAATACTACCCTCCTCTCAGGCAGATGGTAAAACCAGGGCCAGACAGAGGTGACTTACAGAGCAGAAAGCTGGGGGTTCCTGGGACCCCAATTCTATCAAGCTGCTTGTATGCCTCTCCTCAAACAGGGCTGGCACACCCAGCTGGAATCTGTTCCCTAGCAGTGGGGCAATGACATGAACCTGGACTTCCATGTCCACCACACTAGCTGAGTGACCTAGGCAAGGCCCAGGACCCTCAGTTTTCTTCCCTCTTAACATGGAGCCAGGATGAACAAGCAGCCTTGGCTTTTCCCCCATCCCTGCCCCATCGTACCTGGAGGGAGAAAGGCTCAATACCCGGTGCCAGGATCTTCACAGAAAAGCCGGTGTCCTGAATGACAATGACTTCCTGCCCAGTGGTCTCCTCCCCTGGCTCCGCCTCATCCAGTCCATTTTCCCGGGGCACCTCAGCAGCTCCGTCTTCCTTCTTCAGACTCTCCGGGCCGTCCCCATTAAGTAGCATGACTGACGGCAGCTCTGGGGGTGGCAAGGGGCTGAGTCAGACGAACCTAGCTTGTTGGATGGGGCTTTCCATCTCACCCACCTGGGCAGGCACATGCCCTTCAGAATGGCACCTGCATGTCCTCCTGAGGCCCTACCATGGATACTACAGTACCTCCTCAACCTGGGCACAAAATTTCGCTCACCCCTGCCACCCACAGGCTACTACATTCTCCCTTCAACATCCTGGGCCCTCCCTTTCCACCCACCCCTCAGCCTGACAGTCTGGCTGCCACCTGAGCACACCACTGTCCCCTAAGGCACCAACACCACCCTAAGGCCAAACCCAAAGGTCTGCTCTGGCCTTGAGGATCTGGCTACTCAGCAACACCCTGCCTACTCACTTCCTCCTCCTCAGCCCTGACAGACATCAATTCTCTTGTTCCTCCTGCTCCAGCCCCACCTTCTTGCAGGGGAGTCCAAGCTATTGGTGTGCCGGGTCCCAGCCTCTCCTCACTGTTACCTCCCCCTCCCCTATGGTTTTAAATGCCCTCCCACCCCCACAGCACACACAGGCAATCGTGGCCTCAAATTAAGTATGTGGCCACCCCTAAGGCATCCCCCAAAGACTCATCTCGTTGGGATGGAATTCACCTTTCTCTACAAACCAGCCCCTGCTCTGTGACTGCTGCCCCCACTCCTAGTCACCTAACTTAGTCTCCAAACTGTGCGTGCAACCTGGCCTCTACAGCCACAGCCCTGTTGTGGGATATTCCCCCTATTTCAAGTGAACCTTTTGGAACCTTCCTAATATTGCCCAGTGCTCACAAGATAGGCGCTTCTCAGGCCAAACACTGAGGCACCTGCCTAAAGTCCAGCCTCCTGTCAAGGCCTAGCTATACCAAACTACTTGGCAGTCTGACAGGTCATACATCTCCCTTCCTCTGATAGGCTTGTTTACGCCGTCCCCATGTTCCCTTCTATTCATGGTATCCCACAAGGCAAACTCCTGCTCAGCCACCAAGGCCTACGTGAAGTAAGTCCTCTTTAAAGTCTGTCCAACGACCCCTGACAGAACTGTGACCTCCCCACGGTCCCCCAGAGACACAGTGACCACCTACTGGAGCACGTGTTCTGCTGCACTGACAGCCATGCACGCCAGCACCCTACGTTCCTCCGTCTGTATTGCCTGCACTCAACAGAAAAGCACTGAATTCATGAATTATGCAAACACATAGTTGAGTTCAGTATTTGTGAACAGCACCCAACTCATACGCTGCGCAGAGAGAAGGGGGGCAGGTAGCTAACCTTCCCTTCTGTCCAGGCACTAAGTGGGGCAAAGGAGAGTCCCTTCCCTGCCTCTGGGAACAGAGGTTCTCCTCACAGGAACCCACCAGATACAGCCCTGCCTGGAGGCCTGTTTTGCACGCAGGTTCTGCCTTGGCAACCAAACCGGCTCTTTGCTGGTCTTGGAGTTCTGACCTATGAACTCACCAGACCAGTCCTCTAGACCCCAGCACTGCTTCTACACCCAGTTGCTGTTAGGTGTGGGGATAGGATACATTTCTACAGAGCCACAAGAAAGGAGGAGCAGCAGCCTAAGGCCAGGAGATAAGCCCAGCCCAGCACAGGAGGACAGGCCTGGACTCTGAGAGAAGTCAGTCACTCTCCCCGTGTCCCTCTTAACTTAGTGATAAACAGGACAGCCAGGAGTTCAGATACAGTCCTCCCCACCTTTGCCCAAATAAGGATGTCTGAGGCCCAGAAAAACCCAGAGCCTTGCCCAGGGGCAGGAGGCAAGGGTGGCCCACCTTGGAGCTGCCCAGATTGTCCTCAAGCCCATGCCCGTGCCAGGCACACCTCTCCAAACCCGAAGTGAAACTCAGAACCACAAGGACATACGAGGGAGGATTTCTCCTTCCAGAGACCTACTGACCAAGTCAGAGCGACCTAAGTCCCTAGAAATGAGCAACCAGGCCCAAAGGCAGAATGTGGCCAATTCTGTGCTAAGCAGTCTGGACAGGAGGGCAAGGAAAAGGTCAGTTTTCAAACGGCAACAAGGATGACAGATACGAGGAGGCGCTTCCCCCACCGGATCCTTGAGAAAAGGTTGCTAGTTGGCAAGCCCGTGACGTGAGGGGAGGAGCAGGAAGGGGCTCTCCCCTTACAGAATAGCAGATTTATGGTCAGAGACCCTGACCCAGGCAAGCAGCCTGCACTCGGACTCCCTGGAGTCCAGGGGGCAGGGACAAGAGACCGAGCGAGGGGGAACACAGTTCCCTGACCCAACCCAGAAGTCACTTTGTACAGGCTCCTCCCCACGGGGTCTCCAATTCCCTCTCAGACTCCAAGGAACGCAGCAGGTTTTCCTGGTCTCCATTCCCCCAGGACAATCCACCCTCCACCTTCTCCCACTCTTGCTTCCTCCAAGGGAAGCTGAAGGACGCCCTGTCATTTAAGACCAAGTGGTCTCCAAAAGGAGGCTGGCCATCGGGCTCTCACTCCCCTACAGCCCACCTGGTGCAGCTGGCTGCTGTTCTCTCCTGGGCTCTGAAGTCTCAAGACTGCCATGGCAGCGCGGCGGCCGGCTCTCAGGCTCAGGCCTAGCACTGCCAGTGTCCCTTGTTCCGCTCTCCGCCACTACGCTTACCCCCATGCAGCTGGTCGGCCCTGGGCTGGAGCTCCGGTTGGCTTCGGGTTTCAGTGGGGCCAGGCCTGCTGGGGCGGCCCCAGGAAGGGCACACTCCCCCTGCCTCGCATCCTGCTCAAGGTCGGCCGGAAGGACGGCTGCGGGCCAGGAGGCCTTGGTGGCTTCAGGACCCCGGGTGGAGCTACCACCAGCACTTGGATCCAGCTCCCCAGACTCCCCAAAAAGGGGGTCACTGCTGCTGAAGTCATTAAGGGGGCAGGAAGACCCAGAGTTTGGGGTACCTGGGACCCTCAGGACTGACGGCCCTGGGCACTGGCTGGCAGAGGCAGAGCCCAGCAAGGGGGTCCTCTCTTCTGCCTCAACCCCAGTGGGAGCGGGCAGAACCGCTTCAGCCAGCAGCCGGCAACAGCTGGTGCAGACCCGGGCCCAGGCCATGAGCTGGCCACCCCTGTCCACTAGTTGCAGACACTGAACAGCCAGCCTGCCTCCTGGGGCAAGTAGAAGACTTGGGCCTCTGGCTCATGCTGCCCCCTGCAGGTGACCTGGCAGCTCTCCCCTTCCTGAGAGTCACTGGTTCTGGTAGGGGTGGGGGATGGGCCTCCAGGCTCCCAGAGGACAACTGCATCCATGCCCCAGGCCTCCAGCTCCACCAAGAAGCTGGCAGGCTCCAGCTTCCCTTCCCAGCAGCCCCTGTGCTGCCAGGAGAAAACCAAGTCTCTCCCCTGGGGAAAACAGAGCTGGCAGCAAGAGGCCGAAGGCCGTTCGGCTGTGGAAAAGAAACATGCCCAGCCTCGCCAGGGCGCCTTCGCAGGGCCTCTGACTTGTTGCCAGGGCCCAGTCAGGGCTGCTCTGGCATCCATACTAACCAGGGTGGGGGTAGGGAGCAAGGCTCACTCCAGGCCCTCTCCCCTCCAACCCTGTCCTCCTCCCCAGCAGGCCCATCAGCCTCTCCCTAGCCCCACCAACAGTTCCAGCACTCATACAGAGATCACATGGAATGAAGGGTCAGGGCCAGGCAGAGGCCCGCTTAGCCTGCTCTCCTCCCCAGACATACTCTTTGGCCATGACCTGATAGTATGCATGGCCCCCTCCATTCTGGTTGCCAGTCAATGCTCATTCATTTGACCTAGCCAAAGGCAGGTTCCTCAATCAACCCAACCAGCTGACCTCACTTGAAGAAACTAAAGTTCTAGAATGCTAGTAAGCAAGTTTCCCACAGTTATGTGGCCACAGAAACTAAGCCAGGTCAAGGAAATAAACAGGTTCATCAGATGCCCCAGCCCATGCCTGAGTGCCACTCCCCCGGGCTACAGAACCCAGGGGCAAACAGTACCCCCTTCCCCCTCCAGGCTGCAAATCTCAATCCAAGAGGCAAACCTGTCCCCAGCCATGGGAGCCCGCCCACCCCCCTCTCAACACCCGTGTTGGCACTTCCCTCATATACCAGGAGCTCTGAGGACCTGGGTCGTAGGGAGGGGAAAGGTGGTCCTCCACAGAATGAAAATGGGTTCCCCAAATAACACTGCACACGCGCTAGTCTTCATTGGCCGGACCAAAATGAAGAAATTTTGCACAGGGGCCCCATGGGCAGCAAAAGCAGATAGAAAAGAATCCGTTGGCGCAACAGATTAGGACACAGTGCTGCAAGCTGGCCGCAGCTGCCTCAGTGCGAGTTCAATCCCCGCCCTGGAGGTGATCCACATGGCGCAGCAGACCTCTCCGGACTCGCCCACTGCTCCCCTCAACAGTGTACCTCATTGATCTGCCTGCTCTGCTCCCCACACTGTCTCTAGTGAAGCCTCTCACTGTCCGTGCACCTCTGGCCTGTACCCCAGTTCTGTATGCATAAATAAATATTAAAAAAAAAAGAAAAGAAAATTGTACCATAGGAAGACCTTTGTGTGCCTCATTCAGTAGAAGGTGCCAAGGCAGGCCCCGCCCCAGGCAAGGTCCCACAGCAGGAAATAAAGGCCTAAAAGATACTCTACCCCATCACAGGCGTCCAGGACTTCAAGGGAAGGCAGTTAGGGCAAATGGCAGCCTAGGTAAGACCCCAAGGAGGAGGGCACCTCTTTGCCTCCTCCCTATCCTCTAGGCCAGAAGGGACCTACAGGGTCCAGCATTCCTTGAGTTGGTCTTCCTTCCTACCAAGAGAAACCTTTGGGACCCTGTTGGGGAGTTTCTTAGTCCCCCAAGCTCCTCCCCAGTCTGCCAGTCTTCCTCCCCTCTGGGCCTCAAATTCAAGGAACCCTCCCCTAGGCAGAAGGAACTCACTACCATGAACTTGAAAAACCTGCCTGTTCTCTTAACCCCTAAAAGCAACTTTATTCCCAAGAAGGTAACTGACCCTTGCTTTCTCCCTTCCCTCTAAAAGGTCTTGATCATTTCCTCAAATAGATTAGAGAGCCTTCAAGAGCTGAGTTCTGAGATCAGAATGGTTGAGAATCTGCTGGGGTTCTCCATTAAGGCCCCCTCCTTCTTTGAACAGACACAGGCTGGTTCTGATTTAAGTCCTGGCTGTCTATACTAATTTCCGGGTGAGTAAGGAGTCAAAGGCACCCAGTTTCCCCAAAATCAACAGCTGTGTGGCCCTTGCCCGACCCAGATATAGCCTCTGAGCACACAGCTGAGAAGGTTTCACTTACACCCTCAGAGATCCTCCAGAGACTCCCCTCAGCCTCCACCTTCTCAGTATATGAGCCAAACCAACATGCCTGCCCCAACTTCCTTTAGGACAGGGTGGGACAGACTTGACCGTTAGCTGGAAGTTCAAATGTTCCTCTCAACAACTAAATCACCGCATGACCTTGGACAAGTCACTTCATCTTCTTATGTCTGTTAGCTGGAGAGAAACTCAGTCAGCCCGGACCTCCTCTTATCTGGTGTGCTCCCTTACTGATTGAGGGCCACATCAGTGCACAGCCTGGCCAGAGTCATCAGCATCTGTCCTTCTGCCCAAACCTTGGCCTTGTCGGGGCAATCAACATAGCTGCCACAGCACTTATTCCCTGCAAGGTAACCCTATCGTGATGGGCAACAGAGCACCTACCTCATGCTGTTCCTATCCTGACTCACTGGAGAAACTGGGATGGGAAATAAAAAGAACATATTCCTGTTACGGAAAGTTGTGAAGTGGGAGACATGGACAGTTCTGCACTCTCATGACCACCAAGGCAGGGGGCGACCACAGCCTAGCTCTGGGGCAGAGTAAGATTTGGAGATGATAAATGAGGGGCTGGGAAGGGGCTTCCAGTCCCAAGGCAGTAAGTACAAGCAGTGATAGAAGGAATGGAGGTAGAAGGAATGGAGGGAAGAGAGGAAGCCCAGGAAAAATGGAGACACAGCCCTCACTGGAGAAAAGCTGCAGCCACTCCTACAGCCGCTGCCACACAGCCCCACTGGGGGAGAGCTGGGGAGCCGACTCCACACTGATGACCTTTGCCTTAAAACAGCAACTCTGGGCTGACCCACTTTTCGCAATAAGGCGGGTTAATGATCAAGTTCTAGCACAAACACCTCCTCCTGCCAAGGAGTTTGGCTTTGCCCTTATACAAAAGACAGACCCCTAGGTCTGCGGACTAGGCCAACACCCAGCAGAGCCGGGAGTCTGAAGATCCGAGGTCAACCTCTGGGAGTAAAACGGAGAACCCCCTCACAATGCACCCCCTAACTCACACTCTTGCCACGGACTAAACCTGCAAGTCCCAAGTTGAGCCTTACTCTCAGGACCGCAGACTTGTGCACAGGGAAAACTACCCGCGAGCCTGACACGCAGGGTAACTGACTAAGCAAGTGTCAGGGACCCCGGTCCGAGAGCTCCCCAAGCCGGGCGCTGAGGGGGTGGGGCCGTCGACTCCATCCGTCTGCGGCGACAGCGCACCCCGAAACTGTGTGCGCGCACGTGTTCCCTAGATCCGGCGCGCGTGTGCCCGCAGCCGCTGCCCGCTGCCACTACCGTACCGGGGACCCCATGTGCGAAGCCCGGGCCGCAACCGGGGGCGACAGTGAAGGTGACCTTCAGGGCGGGGGTGGCCCGGTGCAGGTCTCGGCGAGATGCAACCGGGCCCGGCGTGGAGGAAACGCGGCGGTCCCGGCGCAATCCCGGATCCACCCGTCCGCCCACTCCACCCGGTCCAGCTTCCCCACCCGGCTGCCCGCTGGTCTCGGCCCCGCTCACCGGCCGCGCCTGGCCGCCCTTTGCCACCGGCCTGAGAGCTGGGCTCCCGAGCGCTGTCGGCCGGGGCGGCCGCCGGTAACTCGTCCGTTTTGATGACCATGGCGGCGGGAGCGGGCGTCCGGCTCGGCTGTCCGCGCCGCCCGCCGCGCCACTAACCCAAGTGCCCTGCGCGCCGCGGCCGCTGCGGGAAGGACGGAGCCTCCGGCCCACGTGGTGTGCGCTGTAGCCTTTGACCCCACTGCCGCTCCCCTGCCCCGCCCTCGCGCCCGGCTCGGCCCACGGAGGCCCGCCAGGGACAAAATACACCGCGCCTCCTTGGCCATCCACCAACCGGGTGACTTTCCCGAACGCCTTAAAGAGAACGTAGCCAGACTCTGGCGAAAGAGCGATTTCGGGCCCCCTCGAGGGGCGGGGCTTCGGAGAGACGTCCTTGCGGTTTGCTGCCGGGCGGGCGGGCGCCTTGACCTTGGGTGGAGACTAGCCTAGGACTGCCGTTGCTTACCGTCCCCACCCCCAAAGGCCCTCTGCTTCCTACGGCAAATCTGCCAAATGACCACGCGGTCTCTAATCTGCGGTGTTAGCGTGACCCGCAGTGCCGGGTTTACCAAGCTTCCCGCCGAAGGGGTGGGGTTTATTAAAGAGAGAGTGGCGGGCTTCGCCCAGCTTGGCGAGTGGGAATGGAGTGTCAGAAATGGACCACAATGGGACTGCTCCCTACCGGTGGCCTCACACCTCTCCTCCCCACCACTCCCAGCCCCCACCAGAAGTGCCTTCACTTTCAGGCTGGTGCAGCCGACCCATCTTACAGGGCAGGAAGCAGAAAGGAAGGTCCCGCAGAGCGAGTAGAGTGGGGCCATGCTACCCTTACCTGAAGTTCAGTTTTCAGGTGTTTGGTGCTTCTTGGGGACTGAGAAGCACGGTGAGAGAAAGCTCTTCAGCTGATATTTTACCAATTTTTTTTAAAGATTTATTTATTTATGAATACAGAACTGGGGTACAGGCCAGAGGTACGGGGGTGGGGTGGGGGGAGTGAGAGGATTCACCAGAGACAGAGTGAGGAGCAGAACAGGCAGATCAATGAAGTACACTGCTGAGGGGAGCAGCAGGCGGGTCAGGAGAGGTCTGCCAGGTCAGGTGAGGTCTGCCCAACCATGTGGGTCACCTCAGGGAGGGATCCAACCCTCCCATGAAGCCGCCATGGCTGGCTTAGAGCTGGCTTAGTTTCTGGCTTAGTGCTGGTTTAGGGCTGGCTTAGCTTTGCGGTGCAGTGCTCCAACCCGTTGAGCCACCAGGGAGGGCCCCAATTTACCCAGTTTTAACCAGTGAGCTGAAGTTCTTCATCCAGGCAGAGTTCTTCAAGGCACAAGCTGGGAGACCATTTACAAGTGGTCAGGCATGGTCCTGACATTTGCCAGGATGTCATGAAGTGTGTGAAGCTATAACTGCAGAGGTGGGCTGGACTGGGTGTTAGGGCCTCTCCAGTAACAGTGGCAAAGCAAAGTAGAAGCAGACTCTGCCTGAGTACAGGTGGTAGGGAGGGTGCTGTGGAGAGACTTTTATCACTTATGCAGGAGAAGAGTGTGAGAAATGCCCTGGCTATGCTGTGGGGGTGACAGGGGACTGAGCCTGACTGGGGAGGAGGAGGCAGGACAGTGGCACAAGAAGCCTGGAAATTAAACAGGAACTGACTGACCACCATGGTTGGAACACAGGCAGGCAGAGTAGGGGCATAAACCTAAAGATGGACTGAATTGGAGATCTTCATCCCATAACCTTTCAATCCTCTTTTTGTAACATTGAGCAAGTCCCTTGACTTTCACCTCACCGGACCTCAGGGGCTTCCTTTCACAAATAAACACACTCCTCTGTCTAGCCTCACCTAGCTGGGAAGAGATGAGTCATCAAAGCACTTCAGATAGTGTAAACTCAGTGATTCACGCAGTCTTTCAAGCACAACTTGCTAGAGCTGAGTGCCTCAGGAAAATCTGAGATGAACTTGACCCAGTCCCTGCCAAAAGTTTGTCTAGTGAAGTTGAGTGCACACAGCAACCTCATGCCCAAGGTTTCCAGGGAGAGACAACTCTGAACTGGGCTTTGAAGGTCAAGAAGGGGGCCTCCCCAATGACCTCAGGGTAGAGTCTCAGCGCTATCACCACTGGGCCTGAGTCCAATCCCTGGCCCTGGAGGTGACCCATATGGCGCAGCAGACCTCTCCTCACCCTCCTGCTGCTCCCCTCAGAAGTGGACTTCATCAGTCGGCCTGTTCTGCTCCCCACCCTGTCTCTGGTGAATCCTCTTACCCCTACCCCTCATACCTCTGCCCCATACCTTAGTTCTATGCAAAAATAAAGCCCACAGGGGTGGACACAGAGGAAAGGGAATTTATTTACTCACTTATTTTTTTTTTAAAGATTTACTTATTTACACATACAAGAACTGGGTTTGGGGAATGAGAGATTTCACCAGAGATAGAGTGGGGAGCAGAACAGGTAGATAAGATCTACTGAAAACACACTGCTGAGGGGGAGCAGCGGGTGAGAATGGAGAGATCTGTGCCATGTGGTTCAGCTCCCTGGCTGGGGATTGAACTTGTGCTACAGTAGCTGTGGCTAGCTTCATAATGCTGTTGCCCCACTAGGGAGGGCCCCTACTCATTTATTTTTTTAAAGCTTTTTATGTTTTAGTTAGAATTTTGAGTGGGTACCAGAATCACATGACTCAAGCCTCAAAAAGTACAAAGGGGATGCAGTGAATGAATCTCTTACCTGGCCCCAGCCACCTTGTTTCCTTTCCCTGTCTACAAAGTTTACCAGTTCTTTTATATTCTTCTAGACCTATTGTTTGTATATACAAGTATGTCAATGTATATGTGTCTTTCTATATTTATATATCTTTATCTATCTTTCCCTTTAGTGACATAAATGGTAACAGACTGTACCTGCTATTCTTCATCCTGATTTGTTTTATTTAATATAGTGTAGAGATTGTCCTTAGTACACAAAGAACTTTCTTGTTCCACTTTATGGCTGGATAATATTCCATGTGTGATTGTACCAGAATTTTTAAAAATTTATTTATGTATACAAGAACTGGGGTCTAGACCAGAGGTACAGTGGAGGTGGGGGACAATGAGAAGGTTCACTAGAGACAGAGTAGGGCACAGAACAGGCAGATCTACTGAAATATACTGCTGAGGGGAGCAGAGGGTGAGGCAGGAGGGGTCTGCTGCTCCATGTGATTTAGTTCCCTTGCTGGGGATCAAACTCAGTCTGTAAGAGGTGATAGCACTGAGACTTAACTCCTGTGCCACCAGGCATGACCCTCTGGTCATATGTTAAGCAGATTTTCTTGCTTTTAAGCTGCTTCCACCAATATCTTTTCATCAGTGTTTTAACAGCCAGTATTCTACTACTTTTGACAACTATGTCCACCACAGTCTGTACATTATGCTATGATTAAGGTCACCACATAGCTTAGACCATGATCAAAAGTGAAAGTGGACATTATTAATAATAACATTGGGGGCCTCCCTGGTGGTGCAAGGGGTTAAGTCTCAACACTATCAAGCTATCCCCCACCATCATTTATAATATCTTAGCTTCCTTGCAGGTATCCCCATTGTTATAGTATGCTTTGACCTTTGTGTGTGTTTGTTTTAATTTATTTATTCATGTATACAAGATCTGGGGCATAGGCCAGAGATGCCATGGATGAGAGGATTCACCAGAGGCAGAGTGGGGAGCAGAACAGGCTGATTGACTGAAATACTCTGCTGAGGGGAGCAGTGGGTGAGTCAGGAGAGGCCTGGTGCCCTATGTGGGTCAGCTTCCTGGCCAGGGATCAAACTTGTGCTGCAGTGGCTGCTGACAGCTTCTTAGTAGTGCTGTGCTTTAATCACTGTGGCCACGGGGAGGCCCCTGCTTTGACCTTTGTTTTGAGGACTTCACATCATTTCCCTAAGCCTGATGGAGACCCAGCAGGTGGAGCTCTGGCAAGACCAGCTTTACCAAGTCTTGACCTTCAAGTGCCTACAGGTCAGAATGGACACTGGAAACCATTCTGTCCATAAACCTAGTGACTAACCATCCCAGCAGCCTTAGAAATAGTGAAGTGACTTCCTTCCCTAGGTCCCCTCCCCTTTCCTTAGCAGGCTTCTATTACACAGCCCCATCCCCAGGGCAGCCTGATTGGCACTCTGGAGTACCTCAGCTTCCCCTTCTTAAGGGCCTTTGTATTAAGATGCTAAGTAAGTAGGAAGGGAAGTTTATCAAAGCTGAGACCCAGCCTTTCTAATTAGGTTGCTTAAAGCCTCCCACCTCCCTAATTACTGAGATGGATACACCTACTCAGCTGGCCTTTCCTATACCTATCCCTTTTCAGTTTCCCCAAGGAGTTGAAGAAACAGGAAAGGAACCCAAACTCCATGGATTGCAAGAGTCACTCCCCTACTTCCCTGGCCTAACTCTAGGAACTCATAAGAAAAAGAAAACGTTCCTTCCCCACCAGCCCCAAATCTGTGTGGGGCAGAACTACCAAGAGAAAAGGGATCTGATGCCCTAGGCTCAGTCTCCCCCTGTAAATTGAGGGGGTTGTATAAATGATGTCTTAGCTATCTGATACTGATATTGCATTATCTCTACCCTATGCTGTGACTCAGCTGGGCTAGTTGAGCACCCCCACAAGTCTGTGGGGAGACCCTAAGGCCAACCCTTTCTCTCCTCCCTTTTTTTTTTTCCTTGTAAAAGAATGGAGAAAGGGGAAAAAGAGCCACCTGCATAAACACGGGGTCAGAGAGCTATTGTTGCTGCAGCTGTACTTGAAAAGTTTTGTTAAAAGGGTTTTGTTAAGAGATACCCAGAAAAACACAAGTGTCCAGTCTTGAGCTGAGAACTGCCTCCTTTTCTCCCATTGAATGTGAAACCCCAAAGTCCTGAGCAGATTTTCAGCCAGGGCAGCCTTCCCTGCCTACCTGCCCCAGGAGATAATAGGCCTCGGGCCCTACTTCCCCAGCTTGCTCTGAGTCTGGTCCTAGCCTGCTTTCCACTCAAATCCAACCCTCGGGGGCTGGGGCTCGATGAGGTGAGGTAGACCCTGCCTGCCTGCCTGTCTGCCCGCTAAGGCTGGACACGCTGGATAGGAATCAGTAAAAGTGACTTCAGGTCTAGCCCTACCTCTGACTTCTTCCTTCTGTGACCTT